ACACCTGCAGACCGTTTTGATAGATTCCCAAGATGAATGAATGGTTTATTGCCGATGGAATATAACAACCATTTTGATATACAAATTTAGTCCCTGGAATTGGCCAGGTCAGCCCATGTCGGAGTTTGAAAAATTTATCCATCCATCAGTGGATGATATCTTCACATCTGAACCAACTGTCATTGTCATTGCCAGTGTGTTACTCCTGCATCAGCCATGCCTGAATTATATCCTTCTCCTGCATCCACTTCTGACAATGAGAATTCCCTCAATGAGTACCGGCCCCTCACTCTCACTCCTGCAGACATTTCAGCTACTATGTCGATATCTGCATCATGCATCCGCGCATCCATCTCCCAATATCAGGCGGAGGCTGCAAACAACAATCTTCCCCCTTTGGCTCGGATCAGGCACTTCAAAGCCGGGCTGCAATAGGAGATCACTGTAAGACCCCAACGACACTGATGGTTAATGCTGACATCTTCCACAGACTTTTGTCACTCCCATCCTTCAGTACTCAGCTGCCAGGAATATCATTTCGGTCGTTTCCAGCCCTATTGCTCATATTCTTCATTTGATTCCCGGTCACACCTGGAACACAGTTCCGGATCACATCTTTTCGTATCACCTCTGTGTGTTTCATGACGTCGCGGATCCTGGAGATCCATCCCAGATCGTATCCGGCTATGATACCCCATAGTGGATGGGAGAAACTGCAATCCCGAACAAACTATGGCAATTGGATCGGGTGATGACTTGCTGTATCTTTCACTACCAGCATTGGCTAGTAAGATTCTTATTCAATTTCCTTGATTCATGACTGATCTGCTCTAGGATGGCATTGAGAATGATGGTCTGACAATTCCGGAGCAGGTGGATCATACCTCAGTTCCATCACTGATGGGACTTAGGTGGATTAGAGAATGCCTCCTGACATTACTTGAGGAGCAACGTGAGGGCATCCGTGACAAGATGGCAGAGATACAAATCTACACTGCCATTCTGGACAGATTGAAGAGAGGCAGAGGAGAGTAGCTCTAGTCACTCAGTTGGAAATGTTGAAGTGCAAGTTGCATATGTGTTTTATGAGTACTGAAAATCACTTGTAAACATTGCAATATCTAACATGATGTTATATGGTGAGTCCCGAAATAAACGGTGCAGATGTGCATCACCATGTCCTGACCACCAAGGTCCAGATATCGAGTCCCGATTACCAGGACCCCATTACCGAACTCCGAATATTGAATTTCCAGTTCTGAATGTTGGGTACCGAGCATCAAGTACCGAATGCTGACTGCCGAATATCGAACTCCAAGTTCCGGATCTCCATTACCAATTTCCGACTCCCAGAATTTAACTACTGAGGTCTGAATATCGAGACCCGAGTGCCGAGTTCCGAATATTGATTACTGAGTGCCGGATATCGAGTCCCGATTACCGAGTTTCCAAAACGTCGGGTACCGAGCATCAAGTACCAAATGTTTACTGCCAAATATCAAACTCCAAGTTCCAGATCTCCATTACCGATTCCCGACTCCCGGAATGTAACTACCGAGGTCCAAGTATCGACACCTGAGTGCCGAGACCCAATTACCGAGCTCTGAATATCAGGTTCCGAGCTCTGAATATCAGGTTCCGAGCTCCAAATATCAAACTCGAGGTCCGAACATCGAGACCCGAGTGCCGAGGCCCGATTACCAAACACCGAATACCGGGTTCTGAGCTCCGAATATCGAACTCCGAGTTCTGGATTTTCCATTACTGATTCCCGACTCCCGAAAGTTACCTACCAAGGTCCGAATATCAAGACCCGAGTGCCGAGACCCGATTACCAAACACCGAATATCGAGTGTCGAGTTCCAAATATTGAACTCCGAGTTCCGGATATCGAGTCCCGATTACTGAGTGCCAGATATCGAGTCCCGATGACCGAGTTCCAAAATGTCAGGTACCAAGTGTCGAGTGCCGAATGTTTACTGCCGAATATCGAAATCCGAGTTCCGGATTCTCCATTACCAATTCCCGACTCCCGGAACATAACTACCGAGGTCCGAGTGTCGACACCTGAGTGCTGAGACCCGATTACCGAGCTCCGAATATCGAGTTCCGAGGTCCGAGTGTTGATTACCGAGTTCCGAGGTCCGAGCGTTGAGTACCGAGTTCCGAGGTCTGAGCGTCGAGTGCCGAATGTTGACTGCCAAATATTGAACTTCGAGTTCCGGATCTCCATTACCGATTCCCGACTCCCAGCATTTAACTACCAAGGTCCAAATATCAAGACCCGAGTGCCGAGACCCAGTTACCGAGCTCCTGGCCTTGATGACTGTTGATAGGATCTGAGTCTAAATACAATGATAGCCATCGCCCCAGTACCATTTTCAAATTTGTACAGCAGCATTCATACTTACATTTTCTTGGCTTCTCTGTGCCCTTTTGACTTGTAGGGTTCCTTTTGCAACAGACCGTTCTTCTTAGCATTGCCTAATGTAAGGTTGATGATATCGTCTGCGCTACTCCAACCCAGGGCCGGCCTTTTCTAACTGCACACCACAACTGAAACCCCACTCTTTCGTGCTGAATGTGTTGGTGCTTGAGTGTCATCAAGAGACATGGAAGGCTCTGGACAGTTATTGTATGCATCCGCTATGGACTTCGGACCTCGAGTGTCATCAAGAGACATGGAAGGCTCTGGACAGTTATTGTATGCATCCGCTATGGATATTGGACCTTGAGTGTCATCAAGAGACACAGAAGGCTCTGGACAGTTATTGTATGCATCTGCTATGGCTTTCGGACCTTGAATCTCATCAAGAGACACGGAAGGCTCTGGACAGTCATTGTATGCATCTGCTATGGATTTCGGGAGTGTCATCAAGAGAGACGGTTCATACTTGGTAGTTGAAAGCAGGTACTGATGCGGGTAATTACACTTTCTACTTGTTTCATCTTCCACATGGTGGTAGGGTTTGTCAATCCACCCTAGCCCATCCACATGAGGGAACCCCGGCATAGATATAAACAAAGTCCCTCATATACCATGCCCACCCAACCCTATCCCCCTCCACCTCATGAACCCCATGTCTGACAATCCTTCCAGAAAATCCAATCATACACCCAGGATCGTACACAAACTCCAGCTGAAGGCTTGGCATGCTCATCCAAGCATTAGAATAATTCCCCACGGTGGTGAGAATATCGAAGCATTCAGGAATTGATAAATGGTCTCAATGATGCGGGGTTTGATGATTGGAAATAATGGATAGCGTGTTAAACACGGATGCCCAGTACTCCAGGATCTCGGACATTCTTGGCAGTTCCTTGCTTTCTGCCTTTTCTCCGAGGCTTGAAAATGTTTGTAACCCTGCCCAGTACTGCTCCGGATGCATGATCCTGAGCGCCGCTGATGCGATGGCTGCCGGCCTTGCAATGGCATTTAGGATTCCCTTGGACAATGGTCCCTTTAATGATGCAGATACCTCCGGGTCCGCTAGATTCTATGTGATTGGTGTGCTCAACTACTGAAATCATCATCCTATCAAATCCTACCTCATGCCCCTGTTGAAACCATGCTGGAGATAAATTAATGCACCCGGCAGGTAGGCCAACATCTTTTGAGCGGCATTTGAACCACTCCGGATTGGTTCACCAATTCCCATCAACATTCACACTTCTTTCCAGACTCAGAGACAGCAAGTTGGTGGCTGCCCAAATTTCCTTCTGTGGTTACCATGGGGTATTTAATATATATTGAGTAACAATCTATATCACACACCTGTGTTTCGGCTGTCAGGGCATCTGGGAGGTACCATGCGATGATGGTGCCGGACACATCTAGAATGGTGGCGGGTATGTCCACAAACCTTGTACCCTCATGGCCGGGAGGACATCTCTTAAGCAACTTCTCCTCTTTCTCCTCATTGTGCCTGGTGTTCTTCGGGGAGATCAATTTGCTATATCTTGCAATGTTGATGTTCATCTGAACTGTGATGAAGGAATTTGAATGATCAAATGAATTTTCCGAATCTGCAGGAAGACCCACTCGGATTTTTATATGCCTTTATGAGGCGATCTACCAATCAATCGCAGGCCATCACTAGATCAGTGTCTAGGTTAGGAGAAGGTATCACTGGGTCTCCTCCTGTCTTCTCTGCATTGAATTTCTGTGCAGTATATTCAGATGCCTCGTGAGTGACTGTCAGGGCCCAAGTGCGCCAGAAGCTTATTTCAATTGCAGAAGTGGAAGAACCATTCATGATGAAGTCGATCTTGGGAAATCAGAAGCTGAATGCTGGACGCCCAGAGGTTGGTGTTAGAGGAGGTGGAGATAGTCAGGATCAGATAAGGGAGCCGAAATACCAGATCATTGGAAGTATGCTGGATATCAGATATTTGTTTGTCAACTCCCGGGGCTCGGATCTCAGCACGCTTCACTCAAATTTCAGTAGTCGGAACTTGGCATTTGGTGTTTGGTAGGTGGTGAACATGAGGTTCTGATAAGAGAACCTTCCATGATGTTGGCTGTCGAAGATATATTACCACCTGTTGCTCAATGAAATACCTGATTGTTGGAAGTGTGCTGGATATCAGATATTCGTTTATTGACACCCAGGTCTCGGAACTCGGTACACTTCACTCGAATTTTGGTAGTTGGAACCTTGCTTCTCATACAGCAATGCAACAGTAATGAACCTGCAGCTGCAGGAACTCATTACGCTTCACCCAAATTAGCTACTCGGCAATCGGTACTGCATTGTTTTACAATTATCATTCACCTGTGCCCACCTGTCTATATTATATACCACCCTCGGCCCACCTGTCTAATATAATATATCCCTGGGCCCACCCGTGTATGTGATAACACGTACCCTCAGCCAGCCCACCCATCTATCTGATACCCACCTACCTTGACACTTGGCCCACCCGTCTAAGATAATATATATCTGGGCCCACCTGTGTATGTGATAACACGTACCCTTGGCCAGCCCACCCCTCTATCTGATACCCACCTTCCTTGACACTCGGCCCACCCATCTAAGATAATATATATCTGGGCCCACCCGTGTATGTGACACAATGTACCCTCAGCCAGCCCACCCATCTAATATAGTATATATCTGGGCCCACTCATGTATGTGATGACAAGTACCCTCGGCATACCCATCTATCTGATACCCACCTACCTTGGTACACCCATCTACATAATATCCAACTACCTTGGCCCACGTCTATAGAATATTCATGTCCATCGGCCCACTCATCTACTCTACATATTCCACACATGGGCCCACCCGCCTCCATCGGAAATAATATCCCTCCCAGCCCATCCGTCAACATCAAGGATATACATCACATCGGCCCATCATCTGCTGGCCTGTCTTATATGGGATATTATGTAGGTCGGGTGACCCGTATAATACGGAAATATGTCACTGTAATATGTGGCCACCGGTGCTTTGCTCTGCCCCGCAGGCCTCGACTGGTCAGAGCCAGAGTAAGTTTTCTATACATTGTATTAATCGACCGCCACAAGATTGCCCAGAACTAAGCAGAATCTAAAGAGCAGTGAACTTGCTGTTCGGGGTGACCAGTGGCCCATTTTTTTATATGCTGGGTCTCAATATAATGTCGAAGACCCATGGAAGGGTTTGTTGAGGAGCGACATTCTCGTTTTCGTAAGCTCATTCTAGTTGCTACAAAATTCTCACTTCAAATACTTCCACTTCATAGGGTTTCAAACATGTCTTTACGTCTCCGAGTTTGGTAGATAAAGAGCCAAAGGCTGTACAATCCGGCAATACTTATCTTCACGGCATGAAATCTGTAACCAAAGGTTCCCTAGCTTATATTGCTACACAGGCACATAAATCTGATTATATCCCCCCACCTCTGCTGACTGTTCCCTCAGGTCCGGTTTGCGTTGAGTTTGTCGTCAGTATTTTCCTGTACTGACATGGTCATGGACTCGGAAAATTTTTACCATAGTATTCTTGATTTGTTGGACGATCCTGATGAAACAGAGGAAGTGGCTGACCTGTTAATGTGGTGGACACAGTTCATAATGCATTGAATCACTTTTAAGCTTCTAAATTAATGCTAACACTTTTCGTAATCGTGTTTTTCCTAACTCATCTTCTTTGCAGCGCCGCGTCAGCAAAGATAGTGCATTGTCGAAGATTCAGGCAAGACATACTGCCTTGCAAGAATTAATTACTGCTTCCAATTGATTCTTTATTTTCATAACAGTACTGTCTAGGCCTGGTGTATCCCAATGTGATTGATTCAAAAATCTATCTATATGAACATATTCAAAGTGCAATCAAAATATAATGTCAGACATCATCCTAGTGCCACTGATGGTTGCTTGCGCCATCGGAAGCTAACCATGTAACAGTAGGTACAATTAGTTGAAGACCACCACCTTGATAGGACCTGATAACTCAGTGTTAGAGCTCCATATCATGTTGCCAAAGGTAAGTTATGCCATAGGAGGCTGCCCATGTAATAGTAGATGTGCTCAGTTAAACGAGAGCATCTTGATGGGGTATGATAACTCAATATCACCTCCAGGCACATTGCCAATGATTGTGGCTTCTACAAACAGAATCTCCCCTTATAACAGTAGACATACTCGACAGAACATCGCCATCTTGATAGGGTGTAACAATTCAATACCATCCCCTGGCACACTGTCAGCAATTGCAGCTTCTGTCATCGGTAGCTGTCTATCTAAGACTAGATATTCTTAGTTGGGAAACAGCATTGTGATGGGGTATGATAACTCGATATCATTCACAGACACACTGTCAATGACTGTGGCTTCCACAAACAGAATCTCCCCTTATAACAGTAGACATACTTGACAGAACATCATCATCTCGATAGGGTGTAACAACTCAATACCATCCCCTGGCACACTGTCAGCGATTGCAGCTTTGTGCAGCTTCTGTCATTGGAAGCTGCCTATCTAAAAGTTAGACATACTTGGTTGAAAAATAGCACATTGGTGGAGTATGATAACTCAATGTCATCCTTTGGCACATTGTCAGTGGTTTTGGTTTTTTGTCTATTGAAAGCTACCTATGCAGGAATAGATATCTCTGACAACAACACTCAGTATGTTAGTAGACTACAATATGGTACCATAGACCTATCAATGTTACAGCTTGGGAGATCTCACCAGTGTAGTCTGCCTATCTATTCCTTTGTCATATGATCTGCAATTATGATATATATTTTTAATATTGTACATTTGGTAAAGCTAGCTAAAGCTTTGTCATATTCGAGTCGATTGCTGAAGACGACTCACCACATCCTCAAAAGGGCAACACTCGGCGCCATGCTTCAGCTTACGACAATGACAATGACAATGATGAAGAGGTTGCAGCGACACTGCCGAAACAAGCCCACCCTCAACTGGATGGGCAACAGCAGTCACTGCCTAACCAGTCCCTGCCTCAGCACCGTCATGGTGTAATCTTTTCGGACAACGAAGAAGACGAACTGGTACCAGCTCGAAAACCAACTTACCGCTCAGAATTCAATGCTCAGGAACAGCTCGGGTCTGACCCCCACATCCCCAGGCCACTGCCACCAAAGTTCAAGCCTTGATACTCCATTGAGGTTGCTGACCACAATACAGCTCCTGCCTCAATGCAAGCAGGCCATAGCCCTGCAGATTCTGTTAGAGAGGATCAACAACCTTGGCCAAGCGAGCAACACTGTCCTGCAAGTGCCTCTATTCACCATGATGATGAGGACCAGCCTCTGCATATCAAGCTGAAACCCAAGCCAAAACCTCGTTGTACTGCTCGCAATGAGCGTGAGTATTCAGTAGGTGAGCTCATGACTGAGCAGCAGTGGGGTATGATTGGGGTATGCCACTAGGTCTATTTTTTTTCACTCTGTTAATGTCATGATTAGGAGTCCTGGCCAGTAACTGCACCATCACCTCCACGCCCCTCATCCCCACTGTCAGATCTGACTGACAACAACAACTCCACTCCACCACCCCTCACTCAGCCCTCAAAGCAAAAAGGAAGGAGGAAAACTACTACGGCTCCGGACGCCCCACATCGAACTTCCGGTCAACGCAAGAGTGGTTACTAGGACCATGAACTTTCTTGCTGTTTCATTCCCTATTGCTCGTTTTTGCTGCTTGTTGACCACTGCCATCGACTCGATCACGCTCTGGACTTTACTGTGGCCCAGACTTCGTACAAATGATGTATTTTAGTACTGTACACTAATGCATTGCCTCTCGAGGCCTTTCAAAGTACACTTAACACGCATGATCTCATAAAGCCTTCTATTGTATATAAACCTTGAGTGATCTAGCAAGGCCTAGTATACCCTTGCAAGCTTCCACAGCCTTAGCACCCTCACAAGGTTAACCTACTAGTGATGGAAAAGTCCAGTTCGGTCCGAAAATGGTCTGGTTCTGGTTCAGTGAGGGTTTGAACTGAGAACCAGACCATCCAAACTATATATAAAAATTTCGTCAAGAAAAATTATATTGAAACATGCCCAACAACAGATGCATCATGTAATACTAAATGCTACTTTCACTCGCTTAGTACTCGTGCTCAGCACTTGCACTCTCCTGGCTTGCATTGGCACCTGCATGTTCTGAATCAGACCCAGGCATTGTACAGGAGTACAATCACAGTGTGACTCATGAGCTGCCACCTCCAGACAATGCGAAGACTTTCTATAGCTTTCCTGTGTATGGTCTCATTTCCAATTGCGTGTCTTTTGTTTTTGCATTCTTTCTCTCATTTTCCTTGATTTTCCTTCCTGAGCAGAGAATCACACATCTAAACAATGTCATAGTGATCGATCCTGGCTAATGCTACACGACCTCCGGTCCAACGACGTCCACCTGCTTGTCAGGTACCCCATGGTTTTTTTGATGGAGTCTCACCAGCTTACATGCATCATCGCTATCACTTCAATTTCATTTTCTTGACCTCTTTGTTC